TGATTGGTTTACTCCCGACCAATAGTGGTCAAATATATCATTTCTTCGCTCGAGAGATACACACCCCCGATACTTATTCTTTTCACCCAATTATCCCGAAATGTATTCTAAAGTTAAGAGTTTAGTGAACTTTAATCTTTATCCTCTCTTAGTTTGGATGGATTTCACTATTACAAGTTCACATTTCAACAAGTAGAGGCTCTCTTATTTTGATCACTTCAACTTTTAAGACTAAATTAGGCTACTTACCTCCTATCAAAGGTGTAATTCTATCAACCGAATGTCTAAGGACTTACTTAATGTCATTGTGTCTTTGCTTACTTATTTTCAAGTTTTTTTTATTGTCATCTTTTCATTTGTTTTCTATATAACCATTGTAATGAGCTTTAGGTCGATGGCTCCCAAATCAATTGGTTTTAGGGCATCAGGTTTCAAAATACCCTTCCAAGCTTATTCACTTGAGTTATAAAAGCTCGATAAGATGACTTTTTTATTAATTTATCTCTTTCTTGCTTTCTATATGATCACTGTGGCGAGCTTTAGGTCGATGACTCCCAAGCCAGTTGACTTTAGAGCACTAGGTTTGAAAATACCCTTACACAGAGGCTTTGGGAGATGTATTATTCTTACACAGATTAATATTATGCTCTTTTTCTAGACATTCAGTCTCCAAAACCAACCCTCAACTTAAGACTTTCACCTAACCTTCATCCCATTGGCTTTAGGCAATCCACACAGTATAATTTCATGCACGGAATCCCTACTTATCTCAATGTCCTCCTGTAATTTCATAGCTATCCCCAAACTACTCTAAAAATGGATTATGGGTTAATACAATAAATGTTTTTTTGGTTTATCCTACTCTGTTCAAGAATCCAATCACTAACTTAAAGTGTAAAACATGAGTGTTGTGCACAAAGAATATCAAGTTCTACATCAACAAGTACGAGCTAATCAAATCATGCACCATATCCACTGTTCCTATTACATACCTATTTCAATATCCACGTCGTTACTACACCAAAAATGGTTTTTTGCAACACATAAAAGGCAACGGTAGTTAAGTGTTGCTAAATAAGTAACTCAAACATAAATTTGACTTACTTTATAGCACAGCCAAACATGCTCGAAAGCACTATAAAATCTTTCAATGGTAAAATCAGGTTATATGTAATTGTTTTTAAAATTTTGAAAGAAGGCTCCACACTTGGTTACAATTTCACTTTAAGCATGCAGGAGTGGCTGCAATAACAAGTGACCTACAACGTCGAAGGATAAAACCTCAGGTACAGGAGTCACATAGGAGTCTTGAATTTATTTATTTGTAACTATGATAACAAGGTCAGTAGATTTTAGAATAGAAATGCAATAATGCATGCAAAGAACTTAAAAAGCGATTCATTAGACCGGCATCATCTGAGTACTAATCTAAATATTTGGGTAACTGAGTAACAAAAGATTAGCATAATTAGAGTTCCCTGTTGATGTTAAGGAGCAAATCAAGTGGGAAAAACATGTATGAATGGTGTCTAGGCAAAAATAATGGCGTGTCTCGACTAGTCATTAGAGTTCAACATGCTATCACGGCTTAACATGCAAAGCTTTAGGCCTTGATATGGTGAGTTGACATTTTATTCAGCCCTAATTTATAATTCTGCTTAGGTTGGAATTGTAGTTGGTGAGTTCTTGAAATGTTGTCGCACTTGCCATCAGTATGTATAAACTCGATAGACATGTGGGTTTGCTTACAAATGTTTGTTCGCAAACAATTGAACCGACTTGAGTTTCCTTTTTCATACTGTAGCTTCTTTGACTTGCGGTTGGTGCTTCACACATTTTTTGATTTTCTTGAAACTCCATTGTTTTTGGCCGGTCTTGATTTCATTTGTTGGGCAATATATTTTGCGTTTTTTTCCTTTACTCTTTAAAGATATATTCCAGCACAACCAACATTGTAAATAGTTCACCCCCTTCATGGCATAGTTTTTTAGGCAGAAGGGTAGTAGTTTGTGCAGGGACGGATCCAGACACTTTGGGTTAAGGGGTCACAATCAAACTTTTATACGGTGAGTAAACTGTAAATGGTACTGACAGTCCGCGATCGAGAAACTGGGAGAGAGAAACAAAGGCACAAAGCAAAGTTTGAAATTATCGATTGCATTATATATTTATAGTGGAGGTTTTAAACTTTGACATTCTAAAAAAAAGGCAGAATTTTAGAATTTTTATTTTTATTTTTTTCAAAAACTGGGGGATCAATTGACCCTTTAGGATCCCCCAGATCCGCCCTTGGTTTTGTGCATTTCAGGTTCTACTTGATGCTGGCTATCTTGCCAATAAAGGAATGAGAGGTGTGTACAATTTTCGTTTTCTGTTGATATACCGGGAAATTAGTGGTGGTTTGAGATTGAGAATTGCTTTTTCTGCCTAGTAATTTTTGTGGCCATGTAGAACATATGTGACGTGTTCAAGGAGCTGGATTGTACAATATTGAAGATATAAAAGAAAAAAATCAGCCTCATGACAGGCCTAAACAATCTTTCTTAACATTATACGACTAATTACTATGCTACAAGTGAACACAACTGGTTCTATAATAGTACGTTAGTGTCATATTTTCTATATTTCTTTTCTGGTAGACGGGAAAAAATTGTACGAAATGAAAATGAATTATGGCTTCTAAGAAAAGCTACTCCAGCTATGTCTCATAATTCATTATGTTTTTTGTCAATCACTCAATAACCAATATGATTTTAATCAATATTCACCCATGAGCTAGTAGTTTCTCACCCATGCAAGCAAATATTTTCCTTGTTTTCAAAGAAAAAAAGGATCACGTGATCAAAACTAGAAAAATATTTTTTATGAAAAAAATATTAATCAAACAGCACAAAATTAGGTATTTGGGTGAAAAATGACATTTTTGTATGGAAAATATAGACAATCAAACGAACCAATTTTTCTCAAAAATGAATAAGGGGATGTAATCAATTGAGAATTTTAATGACTTCTTGGGATTTAAAAAATTTAAGGGTATTCAATTGAGATTTTTTGAAACTCTCTAAAAGTCAAGGTGTATTTTAGTGACTTTTAGGAAATCTCTAAAAGTCACGATATATTTAATTGAAATTTTTATATACTTCTAAAAAGTCTCTAAAAGTTATGACGTATTCAATTAAAACTTTTTAGAAGTCTTTATAAGTTTCGGGGCATTCAAATTTTAATGACTGGAGTACTAACTTTTAAGCAGAAAGTACTCATATAAAATCTTAAAATTTATCTCTCATTAATCACAAGATTTTGGAAAACTTTCATAGGAAAATAATAATAATAATAATTTTTTTCAATCTTTCTTTCCTTTTTCCTTCTACGAACAAGTATGATTAAAATTTATTTTTTATATTGATTATATTTATTTTCATCTTTTTCTCTCTTATTGTTTATCTCTATTTTCTATGAAAAATTATTGGATTCTTGTAACACTTTTTTCGTTTTTCATTCTTTTTTTTTTGTGAAAAATATCTATTTTTTATTGAAATATAAAATTCTATATGAAGAATTTATAGTTAAATTTAAATATATTTATTTTTATTTATTTTTAAAAGTATATTATATTAATAATATTGAATATTAAATTTATTGTTTATCATATATATTTATAATTTTGATCATTATTTATTTAGCACCCATTTGGCCCCCGTTCCTGCCAAATTCTAATGATTGGAATAGTATTTTTTTTAATAATGTGTGGTTGAAAAAGAATGAAATTTTTTTTATTTGCGTCTAATATTATTTTATAGAAGATTGTGTGGTTGAAAATAAGAGAGAGAATAAGAATGAGAATAAGAATGGGGACTGAACGGGGGCTTAATCAATGTTTTAAATTTTTATTCTTTTAATTTTTTTTATTATTTGGGAAGAAGAATGGGAAGGAAAAGAGAATTGTGGGAACCAACACACCTCATAATGTATGTGAGAATTTCATATCATTTTATTAGATCCACATAAATTCTATTTCAAATGAAAGTCTTCAAAAGTCTTTAAAATTCTACAAAAATCTATAAAAAATTTTAAAATGAAAGTCAATTGAAATCTATCAAAGACTTCCACTAATTTAATACAAACCTATAAAAGATTCATGAAATCCACAGAAATTGTCACTTTAAAAAAGTCCATCAAAATCTTAAAGTCTCAATTGAATACATTCCCTTAAAATTGGGCGACTTCCATTTTATTTAGGATGTAGGGCTTCCAATCTGACGCACTCGGATCTTTAGAGTGAGATGGGTTATAAGAAGCCACTGTTAGGCCCATGTGGGGTTGAGAATTAGTGCTAGTGTTTCAAGATTCAGTCCCGCTACTCGTACAATGGGACTTACAACATACCTTACAATGTGACGTGGAATTGAGGGGAAAAAAATAAAAGAAAAC